TTATTGGCACTTGTAGATGGTTCTATCATCTTGTACAACATATAATCTCTAGAAATTTTAATTCTGTTATAGTAGAAATTAAGGAATTGTCTACAAGGGTATTGTGAGGACCAAATGAAATAATCCTTTTAAAGCAGGGATTTTCAGACTTTTAAAAATATCTTAAAGATATCTTTTGATATCTATTGTAAAAATATGTTTTATGTAGGGCATACATGTACATATAAACTAAAAGAAAAGTTTCACTGAAGAACTTTTATCTACTAAATATGAAAATGAAACATAATTAGAAATAGAGCATGTTAGCTAAGCATATTAGGTTCCGGGGATGCCATCAGGAACAAAGTAAAGTTCTTGTTCCCATGGAGCCTTTGAATTAGTGGGGAAGAAAGACAATAAACAAAATAATTGCAGATTACTGTGATAGAAAATAAGAGGAAAGATCAGTGTTTGGCACATGAGCACTCATTAAATGCTAGCTGCTATTTAATCTTGTTGCTTTCAGCAAAGTGGAGATTTTTTTGAGATTAGAAAATTTATCTTCTCTGGGCGGCGCCTGTGGCTCAGTGAGTAGGACGCTGGCCTCGTATACCGAGGGTGGCAGGGTTCGGACCCATCCAAGGCCAAATTGCAACAAAAAAATAGGCAGGCGTTGTGGTGGGCCCCTGTAGTCCCAGCTACTTCGGAGGCTGAGGCAAGAGAATCGCCTAAGGCCAAGAGCGGGAGGTTGCTGTGAGGTGTGATGTCACATTACTCTACTGAGGGTGACAAAGACTGTCTCTAAAGAAAAAAAAAAAAAGAAAATTTGTCTTCTCATCACTCTGACTTCCTAAGGGTTATTATTTGTTGTCAGCATTTGTCAATAGTGTTAGAAACTGTCAACATTCTCAGTATTCAAAATACAGGAGTAAAATAATTGGTCTTAATGAACACCATCATCCTGATGATACTTCAAGAACTGTTAGATATAGAAATAAACTTCCAACTTTCCATTTGGAAAACAGAAGAAATGCAAGAAAACACTGCATAACGATATAAGTGCTTTTGTTTAATTTTTTAGATTGTAAACATTGTTTTTATTGCAAGTTTCTATTAATGCTTCTCTTCTTTTGGTCTTATTTTGAGCCTTTATGTAAAGATTGGAAGCTATTTAATATTAGGCATTTTGATGCAGTAAAGTGGCTACTTCAAACTAGCGTTACAGTGATATGTTTAATGCCAGTAGTGCGCTTGTGGTAATTACACAATGAAGAAAGAGTTTTCATTCAAAGATAATATACGTATTTTTAAATTTTTTTTAGAAATAAGGTCTTGCTTTGCTGCCCAGGCTGGAGTGCAATGGCCATGATGATAGCACCCTACAGCTTGAATTCCTGGGCTCAAAAGATCCTCCTGCCATGGTCTCCTGAATAGCTGGGACTACAGGCACAAGCCACCATGCTCAGCCAAAGATAATACAGTTTTAAATTAATTTAAAATAAAATTTGAGTTTAATGTGATGACAATTTAATCATTTCACCAAGGGCATAGGTATAGAAAGACAAAAAAATTTTAGTCATAATTTTAACAATCAAGAAATGGAAGCAGAAATTTTTCATGGGTTTTCAGGACATACTGCTTTTAGTAGCATTTTTATTTTTGTGTATTAGCTTATATAGCAGCATATGGAAGGAAACAAAATAGTATTTACCCTGAACTTAAGTATAATCAGAAAGTCTTAACTTCACAAATATAAATTATTAAGAATTATGTTGCTATACAGTCCAATAAAATGTAGTTTACAATTCTTTATCTTATTTTGTTTTGGTTTTGTTTGATTTTGCCTATCTCCCATTATTCCTCCAGAATATCTTGCCTAGTTCATGCTTAATGAAATGCTAATCAACAGTCTTAAGTTTTTCCTCACCAGTTATTCCTCTAGTTTTTAAATAACTATATATATACAATCATTGCTAATGTCCTTTTATTTATATTCAACCAGGAAGTAGCCTGTAAGAATAGAAAATGTTTTTACAGTTTTCCATGATAGTACCTCTATTTGTAAAATATCTATTCTTTATTTCTTTACTTTCAATTTTTTTTTTTTTTTTTCTATTACAACATAAGAATTTGTAGTTCTAGTGTGAAAACTATGTCATACTTTACTTTCTCTTAAAACTTGAGTGGAATCTTTGCCTCTCCTTGCCTCTGATAATCATGGGTCAGCCTTGGAAATAGGAAGCCCTTTGCTTCACATTCACCTTTCGTCCTTTCCCTTGTGTTTTCAGTTGTATTTATTGCTTGGCCTCTCTACGGACAGATGTTGCTTGCTTTGGGTTGGGTGGTCTCCTTTTGCAGGATAGTAAAGAGGTTTAATGATTTTCCTCTAAAACTAGAGTTCTGGAGAAATACTGGAAGTCTTTGTTGCCCCACAGATCTATAATAGTATTCTTACTTTGTAAACGGCCTTAGAGTTTCCAGTGTAGTAAAAAGTGGGCATATCTCAGTTGTGCTGGGAGTCAGAGTTTAATTTAGACCTGGAGATAATTTGGGAGTTCTCCTAGCAGTATAGTTAGGTATTCATTTACTCTATAGATAGCTCTCAAGTCAAGACTCATAAAATGGCTGACAAATATTTGTAACTAGGGAGAATAGCAAATGCCCCTCCTCCAATTTAAATTCAACATATGATTGTATAAAACCATGAGGACTAAAACAAACTAGTTTGTAGCCAAGAAAGGGTAAGAAAAGCCAGAACAGATAATTGAGGCTCTGCTTTAAGTTCTGCACTTTTGAAGATAGGAATATGTAATTAGAAAGGAGAGAAACGTCTAGAAATGCAGTTTTCTAGCTGTAAAAACAGAGTCACATCTCATCTATTGCTGCAACGTTAGGTATGGATACAGTTTTATTAACAGTATCTACGTACATGATTTACCTGTTCACCTAGATCCTAGCCTCTAGCGACCCGTTGGGCTCCTATGGCCCTGGTCTCGTTAGTGCAGGAAGGAACCAGGCGAGAGACGGATTAGAAGTACAAGCTTGTGGAAGGCGGTTGAGCAACCTCCACACTACCCTTTTATTGAGCCAGAACACCACAGGTGAGGAGAGTAATTAATAATGACTATGTGCTGAGGGCACGAGCTCTTCTTCCACAAGGAACCATGCCTCAGCTGCAGATCATCTTGTTCCGATGTCGTCTGGCTCTTGGTGTCTCCTAACACTAGCCACCTTTGTTGAGTGGACATAAAGAAAAATGAAATGTATTTCTGCCAGGAAGACATAATTTCTTTTTTATTTTATGTGCTGATTTTCTTCTTTTCTTTCTTTTCTTTTGGTATTCCAGCCACTAGATGCATTTGTGGGGAGCAGTATGATGGAGTCAGGAGAGTATATGGAACTAGGAGCCAGTGACTGAACTTAGCTTGCTTTGCTGATAACCATCTGTGTAACTGTAGGCAAATTAATAAACTATTCTTGAATTCCTGTTTCTTCATCTGTGAAATGAAACATTTGGACTAAATGTGAGAATTACTGCCTTTTGAAGCCAAGCAGATGACAAAATGTGGATAAAGTCAGGGGAAGACTCTAGGGAACCGTGAGGCTGTGGTCAAACTGGGAAGTTCATCCTTTTTCTACAAACATTTTAATTTCATATCCTCTCCCTATTCTCTCCCCTTTTTTCCTTCTTTTTCTCCTTTCTTCCCCTCCTTTTCTTCTTCTGAGAAGGGAGCCTAGCAAAGCATACCCAGAGTATGATTCTCCCCCACCAGATACTACCACTCCCTGACCCCTGGATCCATAATCTTTCTTCCATCAATACTAGTTGGACCATATGAATGATCAACACTGTGTTTGAAATGAAATGAAACCAGGAGTCAAACTAGACTGCATAGAAAGTGAGAGGGTGACTATGAGAAGAAATTATATAATCTTGGGTATGGTCCATTTCTTTAATTTGAGAAAACCAAAGATATTATTGATTCTGTTTTACTTGTATGTAATTGGCACATCTGATCCTGCAAAGTGTTCTTCTCTTGCCTGGAAGGGATTCACATCTGCAGAA